AAATTGAGGGCTCGGGGTTTGGGCGGGAAAAACTGCGAAATTTGGGATCAAAAACTGCGAAATTTGGGGTAAAAACTCAGAAATTGGAGGGAAAATCCAAAAATCTGAGGGGAAAAATTCCAAACTTTTGGGGGGAATGGTGGAATTTGAGGGGTCGGGATTTGGGGGGGAAAAAGGTGAAATCTGAGGGGAAAAATTGCAAAATTTGGGTGAGAATGGTGAAATTTGAGGGCTCAGAGTTTTCGCGGGAAAAACTGCGAAATTTGGGGGAAAAACTCCAAAATTTGGAAGGGGGAACCTCCCGAATTTGAGAGGAAAAAATGCAAAATCTGAGGGAAAAAATTGGAAAATGTGGGGGGAAATGGTGGAATTTGAGGGCTCGGGATTTGGGCGGGAAAAGCAGCGAAATTTGGTGAAAAATCTCACAAATTGACGGGAAAAAGGTGAAATCTGAGGGGAAAAGTTCCAAAATTTGGGGGGAAATGGTGGAATTTGAGGGCTTGGGATTTGGGTGGCAAAAAACTGCGAAATTTGGGGTAAAAATGTGAAACCTGAGGGGAAAAATGAAAAATCTGAGGGAAAAATTGAAAAATTTGGGGTAAAAAGGTGAAATCTGAGGGGAAAAATGAAAAATCTGAGGGAAAAATTAAAAAATTTGGGGGGCAATGGTGGAATTTGAGGGGTCGAAGTTTGGGTTGGAAAAACTGCGAAATTTGGGGGGAAAATCGCCACATTTGGGCGGAAAATTGCAAAATCTGCGGGAAAAAATTTCAAAATCTGAGGGGAAAAAATCCAAAATTTGGGGGGGAATGGTGGAAATTGAGAGGTTGGGATTTGGGTGGGAAAAACTGCGAAATTTGGGATCAAAAACTCAGAAATTGGGGAGAAAAATGGGAAATGTGAGGGGAAAATTGAAAAATGTGAGGGGAAATGGTGGAAATTGAGGGCTCGGGATTTGGGTGGGAAAAACTGCGAAATTTGGGGTAAAAACTGCGAAATTTGGGGTCAAAACTCAAAAATTGAGGGGGAAAAAAGGTGAAATCTGAGGGGAAAAATGCAGAATTTGGGGGGGAATGGTGAAATTTGAGGGGTCGGAGTTTGGGCGGGAAAAACTGCGAAATTTGGGATCAAAAACTCCAAAATTGGGGGAAAAAGGTGAAATCTGAGGGGAAAATTTGCAAAATCTGAGGGGAAAAATGCAAAAATTTGGGGGGGAATGGTGAAAATTGAGGGCTCGGGATTTGGGCGGGAAAAACTGCGAAATTTGGGGTTGAAAATCGCCACATTTGGGCGGAAAATTCCAAAATCTGAGGGAAAAAATATCAAAATCTGAGGGGAAAAAATCCAAAATTTGGGGGGGAAATGGTGAAATTTGCGGAGTCGAAGTTTGGGCGGGAAAAACTCAGAAATTTGGGGGGAAAAACTCAGAAATTGGAGGGGAAAAGGTGAAATTTGGGGAAAAAAATCTCACAAATTGGAGGGAAAAAGGTGAAATTTGGGGGGAAAAATTCATCCGTTGCCACCCAGCGTCACCCGCTGTCCCCAGTGTCACCCCAGGAGCCGATTGGCACCCGGTGTCACCCACTGTCCCCAGTGTCACCCCAGGAACCGATTGGCACCCGGTGTCACCCATTGTCACCCAGTGTCACCCACTGTCACCCAGTGTCACCCAGTGTCACCTTCCTGTCCCAATGCCACTCAATGTCACCAGTGTCACCGATGGCACCCAGTGTCATCCATTGTCACCCCAGTGTCACCTCAGGAACCGATTGGCACCCAGTGTCACCCAATGTCACCCATTGTCACCATTGTCACCCAATGTCACCGATGCCACTCATTGTCACCAATGACACCCAACGACACCCAGTGTCACCCACTGTCACCCCAGGAGCCAATTGACACCCAGTGTCACCCATTGTCACCTTCCTGTCCTAATGCCACTCATTGTCACCAGTGTCACCCAATGACACCCATTGTCACCTCAGGAGCCGATTGTCACCAGTGTCACCCATTGTCACCCAATGTCACCCACTGACACCTCAAGATTGTCACCCAGTGTCACCCAATGCCACTCATTGTCACCCAATGTCACCCAATGACACCCATTGTCACCCGGTGTCACCCCACTGTCACCCACTGTCACCCATTGTCACCCAGTGTCACCTTCCTGTCCTGATGCCACTCAGTGTCACCGATGTCACCCAATGACACCCAGTGTCACCCAGTGTCATCCAGTGTCACCCAGTGTCACCCAATGCCACTCATTGTCACCATTGTCACCCAATGACACCCAGTGACACCCATTGTCACCCCAATGTCACCTTCCTGTCCTGATGCCACTCAGTGCCACTCAATGTCACCAATGACACCCATTGACACTCAATGTCACCGATGACACCCAGTGTCACCCCAATGTCACTTTCCTGTCCCGATGCCACTCAATGTCACCGATGACACCCAGTGTCACCGATTGTCACCCCAGTGTCACCTCAGGAGCCGATTGTCACCCATGGTCACCCACTGACACCCATTGTCACCAGTGTCACCCACTGTCACCCCAGGAGCCAATTGATGCCCAGTGTCACCCACTGTCACCCACTGACATCTCAAAATTGTCACCCAATGACACCCAATGACACCCACTGACACCCAGTGTCACCTCAAGATTGTCACCAGTGTCACCCAATGCCACTCATTGTCACCATTGTCACCCAATGACACCCATTGTCACCTTAGGAGCTGTTTGTCACCCATTGTCACCCCAGTGTCACTTTAGTGTCACCTCAGGAGCCGATTGTCACCCAGTGTCACCCAGTGTCACCAGTGTCACCCACTGTCACCCCAGGAGCCAATTGATGCCCACTGTCACCAATGTCACCCAGTGTCACCTATTGCCACCCCAGTGTCACCTTCCTGTCCCGATGCCACTCATTGTCACCAATGACACCCAACGACACACAGTGTCACCCACTGTCACCCCAGGAGCCAAGTGACACCCAGTGTCACCCAGTGACACCTCAAGATTGTCGCCCAGTGTCACCCAATGCCACTCATTGTCACCCAATGACACCCAGTGTCACCTTAGGAGCTGATTGTCACCCAGTGTCACCCATTGTCACCTTCCTGTCCAAATGCCACTCATTGTCACCAGTGTCACCCAATGTCACCCATTGTCAGCCCACTGTCACCCAGTGTCACCAATTGTCACCCCAGTGTCACCTCAGGAGCCGATTGTCACCAGTGTCACCCAGTGTCACCAGTGTCACCCATTGTCACCTTCCTGTCCTGATGCCACTCAATGTCACCAGTGTCACCCAATGACACCCATTGTCACCTTAGGAGCTGATTGTCACCCAGTGTCACCCATTGTCACCTTCCTGTCCTAATGCCACTCATTGTCACCAATGTCACCCACTGTCACCATTGTCACCCTCAGGAGGCCATCATGGACGGCACGGAGATGGCGGTGTCACCGCGCTCCCTACACTCGGAGCTGATCCCGGTGTCACTGGGGTGTCACTGTCTGTGTCAGGGTGTCACAGGGTGTCACAGGTGTCACTGTCACCACTGTCACCCGCAGGAGGCCATCATGGACGGCACGGAGATCGCGGTGTCACCGCGCTCCCTACACTCGGAGCTGATCCCGGTGTCACAGGGTGTCACTGACTGTGTCACTGTGTCACTGTCACCATTGTCACCCGCAGGAAGCCATCATGGACGGCACGGAGATGGCGGTGTCACCGCGCTCCCTACACTCGGAGCTGATCCCGGTGTCACAGGGGTGTCACTGACTGTGTCAGGGTGTCACTGACTGTGTCACTGTGTCACTGTCACCATTGTCACCCGCAGGAGGCCATCATGGACGGCACAGAGATCGCGGTGTCACCGCGTTCCCTACACTCGGAGCTGATGTGCCCCATCTGCCTGGACATGCTCAAGAACACCATGACCACCAAGGAGTGCCTGCACCGCTTCTGCTCCGACTGTATCGTCACCGCATTGAGGAGTGGGTCAGTGTCACTGTCATTGTCACCTGAGTGTCATTGTCACTGTCACTGTCACCTGAGTGCCATTGTCACCTGTGTGTGTGTCAGTGTGTCTGTGTGTCACTGTCACCTGTGTGTGTGTCA